CGCGAAGCCCCACTGAATTTTTAATGGGGGCTCTGCAACACTTTATGAGCGTTTCCAAAAAACACTGCAAATCCGTAGTCGAGGCCCCCAAGAAGACGCGAGCCAAATATTACAGCACAGCACCCGGCCTGCAATTCACAATAAATTCTCAAAGTCAGATAAAAATTGCTTTCTTCTCTCCGCAAATGATGCCAAGCTCAAAAATCACTCGTCCCAGCCATTGAGTCAGCCACTGGCTTTTTGAGAATGGCGCGCTCGGTCGTTACTGGGGCCGCCGTGGCAGGTTGTTACTTGTCTATGCGTACATGCACGATCGCACTGAAAAGCCGCGTATTTGAAGAAAAAAAGAAAGTGCTCAAGGTCACGAGGTGTGCGTGACGTATTTTATTTCCCCATAACATCACTCCCTCTTTAGCTTCCAGCACTTTTGTTGGGAAAAGAAAAGAAAATGCAATTGTAGCGTATGACAAATGTTTGCAACTCAACCCGAACTGAACAGATTCTAAAAATTTTTGCTGGGGCAATAAGCTTGCAATGGGGCAATAAGCTTCTTTGGCAAATCCATTCCATGGCTATTTGAAAAAAAAAAAAAAAAAATGTTGCAGGGCCCCTTTAAATGAACATATTGCCCTCAAATCGATTCACCATTTTTTAAAGCTTAGAAGCTTGTTATAATGAATTTTATGCTCTAAGTATAATAAAATTTAAAATGTTGTGTATTTTACAGGTTATCACTAGCATCCCACCCAAAGTCAAATGCTGCTACTACTCAAAGTTGTTAGGACTTTCTTTGAAATAAAAAAATAAAAAATAGCATTTCCATAGAGATCTTATTTCAATCAAAAAAAAAAAATATTGTGCCAGTTAGGCCATAATAAATATGCCTATTTTTCTTTAGTGATACATATACTATTCAAATTTGATTCGAAATTATTCGACCAAAATCCCTATTCACTTCGAATTTGCTTAAAATCCACTATTCGCACAAGCCTAGAAATGACTTTTGACCTTTTAAATTCACACCCACTATCACATTGGTAAGCCATTAATTTCAAAGTCTACAGTCACTTTCGCACTTCAGTCAATTCCATTCAGTAAAAGTTCCTGGAACTCACCATGCATAGAATTTGGCTCGCAGAAGTCAATGCAATTAATTCTGACTGATAATTATGAACAGATTTCCTGGCAGATGCTATTGAAATGTACCATGTCAAGGTGAGCTGGTACAAAAAAATTCAAGGCAGCATCAACACCAGCATTTTCTAACCTAACATTTGCCCCCATGTGGCAAGGGTGGCATTTCTGGTATTGTTGCCCTAGATGATGCTTGTACAGGGTTGTTTTTTGGAAAGTGTCAAGCAGTGGCATGGCTCTATGGTAAAACACCAGAGTTCCAAGCAGATAGCCACGGTAGAATCCTGGCTTGGACCCATGATTTTCATTACATGCACCCATTGTAACTTTTTGCTCATGGACCACACTGCCACTTGTGGGCCACACTGGAATTTCTGTGACACAGATTCTTTAGGTACTTGGTTACAATGGCTAGTCTAGGTGTGGACTGATTATACACTGATAGAAACTGTAGAGATGTAACCTGAAAACTACCGACTAAGTATATGCAATGGAATGGAGGGAAGGTGACTCGTTGGGCCAAAAGACAGAAGACAATACAATCAAACACGAATATATCGAACTCAAAGGGGATCGCGAATTAGTTCGATATATAAAAAATTCGGTATAAAAAAATGGAGGCCCCGAGAGTTATTTGTCGCCGATCATCGCCTACAATAGGCCCATTAAAGAATGACAACTAATTCCACACACACGCCGCAACAGAATGATTTATTCGCGTGAAAAAAAAAAAAAAATCGCTAACCTTGGCCTGCTTCTTCGTTGTTGAAATGTTGAAGGCGCTAGTCTCGATTTTATCAAGGCTGTCCAGGTGCGACAGCCCAGTTCCCTTCATGTGACTGATACAACGGCGAATAATGCTGGATGCTGCTGCCACTTCAGCGGCGCAGTACGTGCATGTAGCCAGCGCCTCGTCCGGACGATCCTCTTTGTCACGTGAGCTGTCGGCCTGGACATTGCAGTCTGCTTCGACGATGTCGTCCGCAGATACTTAATGTAGAACTTCTGTCAGCAAGCGGGACGACAACTCGCGAAACGCGTCGTTTTCACCGGTTTCCGCAAGTTCCGTCGTCTCGAAGCCTGCCTTGCGGAAGCAGTTGACCACTGTGTGCGTCTTCACGTCTCGCCAGGCACTGAAGATCTCCGCGGGAGAAAACTTCGCGGAGATATCCGGCCACTCCTTTGTCATCCGCTGCTGGATGTCCTGGCTGCCGACATTTTCGCTTTTGCCAGAATTGGTTTTGCCAACGATAGCGCTGCTTATATCGGTGAAGCCACCCGCTGTTGTCGGCGAAGTTGTTTCACCAAGTGCAGTGGCAGACCATTTGGCTTTGGCGATCAGCATCGGGCCATACACCAGAATGTTCTTCGCATGCACTACTAAAAACCAGGCCTACAGTGCCTTTTCTACATTCCTGTGGGTAGAAGCGCGCACATGACAGGCTCTCGGCGTTCACTGCTCTGCCGCCTTTGCCTTGATATCTGCCTTCTTTTTCAACAAGGTACTCAAGTGCTCCATGGTATCCCGAAGTTGTCTGCGACCATGGTATCCCGAAGTCGTCTGCGACGGTCGAACATTTCTCGCTCGCCTCAACACGCTGAATAGTCTTCAACTTCGTCGCAAAGTCAAGGGTCTTGCGCTTGTTGACGCTGGCCATAGCTACACGAGAAGTCGACAATTCACGAGTCCGCAGTGGCCTTGCACATCACGCACGGAAAAAAGAAATGCTGCACAAGCGGTGGCGCGACATGACAGCGGAAGCAACAAAGCGCTCGTGAACGCAACAGCAAAAGGCGCGAGCTGCGGTTGGCTGATCAAACTTCGCAAAACAGCAACAACAAAATAAAACAAAAGGCAAAAGGAGGAGGACGTTGGCTCCTTCGTTCCTGCTCTCCGAGCCGACGGGTACGCGGAGCAAGCATGAGAGAAAGAGAGAAAAAAAAAAAAACGAAAAAAAAAAAAGGTTTGTTTCGCAAGTTAGAGATTGTGCAGTCTGAGCCCTCTCGCCATTTTTTGAACGTTTTGGGCTTTGGCGGAGGCGTAGTGCCGCGCGGAGGTCGCTGCGAGTGCCGAAGCGTGCCTTCCAACTTGCGCGAGGAGCCGCGCTGCCACGGAGATCCCAAGAGGGGGGGGGGGGGGTTGAGAGTGTCGAAGCACACCTTCCAGCTCGCGTCGCGTTCAATATATCCAAAGGCGGGTAAAAATACAGTTCGATATAAATGTGCGAATTTCTATACTTTTACAAAGGAATTTCAAGGAGATAACTTGCGAGTTGCATATACCTAAGAGTTCGTTATGTGAGTTCGATATAACCGTGTTCGCTGTATTAAGTACATTTTCCAGTTTGCAAAGGTCAGCTGCAAGGTTCCTTTTTCATCAAATAACCATAATAATATGCACACTAGTCAGTGAGCAATTAGTCAGACATGCCTGTGATTTACTGACTCAAGCCCCATAGAATCAATGAAGGATAATCTATATAGTTTTTAGATGATGAAACCATTCACTGCCTGATTTTTCTGCCTTTAAGCAGTTATTTCAGGTACAAAACTATTTTAATGAAAGCCACAATGGCTACCATTTTATTTCTTTCAGAGCCTCGAATCAACAATTGTGCTGAAAAATGCCTGTCAATAACCTCCCTGGACAGCAAAAAAGAGCACCAACTTTATGAGTGCCTTCAAATTGAACACCACATACTCGAGTTATGAAAATTTTATGACCCACCTAGTACTTGACAAATGATTGATTGATATGTGGGGTTCAACGTCCCAAAACCACCATATGATTATGAGAGACGCCGTAGTGGAGGGCTCCGGAAATTTTGACCACCTGGGGTTCTTTAACGTGCACCCAAATCTGAGCACACGGGCCTATAACATTTCCGCCTCCATCGGAAATGCAGCCGCCGCAGCCGGGATTTGATCCTGCGACCTGCGGGTCAGTAGCCGAGTACCTTAGGCACTAGACCACCGCGGCGGGGCAATACTTGACAAATGGTGCTAAAGAACGCACTGTGGCAGTGGTGGCTCAACTGTAGGCTGTGTGTGTGTGCATGTGTGCACATGCCCATGCACATACAGAGCAGACTCTCCGTGAATAGAACTGCCGATTAAATGGAAATTATTACTAGCTTAGTACTTGAATTTCGCACCCCTGTTCATCTCTGAGTAACTGCAACTCCTGTTATATGAAGAATATTTTATTGGTCCTTTCAAGTTCCAGTTAACGAGTCTATTGTGCATGCAAAAGACTGTGCCACAGCTGCTAAGTATAAGCCCTATTGCATAGTTCACGTCATGTTTGTATGCACAATGTTTTTTCTATTATAATTTTAAAAACTAGCAGCACAATATTATCTGGGTACCAAGAACCTATTAAATACTACTATTAATTACTGTCAATTGAAGCAACAATGCACCTGGACGTCTTCTGCCTGTTTAATTTGACGTACTGCATAATAAATTAATTCAGCATACCAGATGTCTACCCTTTCTACACCTTTATATACAATTGCTGCAATGTAACCACTGAAGTAGCCTTTCTGCGACTATATTGTGCAACTATAATGTCGCAATGGTGCAACTTACGGAAAAACATGGGCAAGCCCCAATAAATGGTCTTAAAGAAACAGGTCACAAACTGTTGGGTATGTTTTCCATTATATTTAAGACATTTAAAAAAGTGTACTATACAAACTTTTTTGCCTTAACTGCCAGGGCGTGAACTGCATGCCAAAAAACAAATAATGGCATATTCCTGACAGAAACTTAATCTGTAGTCATCCCCACAACAGTTAGGGTGCACGTGTAGGCACCGTACATGTGTAAAAAAGTATAACTGTCGATATAGCTTAGTGACTAACCTGATGCAAAACATCTTTGCAGTAACATCTAGCTTGTACTCCTTCACATTTGCAATCAAGATGTTCACATAGACAAAGCTATGATCTTGCCACCATGAGATGGATGCTTGACGGCTAGAAGATGAGAAAATTTGTTAGATACATTCATTTGGCACAAAAAATACAGAACATGATCATGAAAAACTAACTTCACATAATCTTCACTGCCATGCTAGCTAGCTGACTACAAGCAGATCGAGTTGATTCAGAGGAATATTCTAAACACAGTGCTCTATATACAATAACTTTTGTGCACAGTTTTGAATAAAAACTGCTACAGGAGAATTTTGATGATACGATTACGAGTGATAGAAATTTCACGATAATACGAACTTTAGGTTGCTTTGGATGAACTACATTATATAAAATATGACGTGATTCAGTGTTATACGGTGTTCGAGGCCCTCACACTTGGCCTCGAAGGGAGTGGATGCGGCAAAACTCACCGGAATTTTCCTCGCTTCACCGCCGGAAATGTGGCCGGAAAACGATACCGCGAGGCCAACACGAAAACATGGGTCCAAGACGAATTTTGCCGCCAAGCGATAGCGGATCGCCTTTCTGCTACGGCGTTGGCTACACCGGTTGCACTAGCTCTCAAACCACGTGATGTAAACAACCAGCCATATATTCAAGATGGCGGCCAAGTCGTCGGCGAATGCAGTGGCTCGCGTCGGCACAATCGAGAACTACCCGCGCAACACGACAAAGCTCACGGCCTCGAAAAAGACGTGTACATCGAGATGGATTACGATCACTGTGAACATTAGAAGTAGAAAGAAGTTTAGCAGCAGCGAGTCGGCATGCCCTAGCGTATCTCTCTTTTGCACTGCCAGCTCAATCCGCCACTGCTGCTGTGTCTGCTCGTGTTATTTTCTAATGAAATATGTCCCGAAACAATGTTTGTGACGGTGTAAACTATTTCTTTTCAGTGCTTTGCATGCATGACTAGAACTCGGTGGGGATTTTAATGCTCAGGAATAATTTTTCCAGCAGCGAAGACGGTGGGGGTGTCATGTACACGAGGGGCAGATGGAATGTGAACATTTTCGACAGGGATGAACGTGGTTTTGCGGCCACTCTGGCGTTTTTGCTTGAATTCTCGAGTGTGAATTTTTTTGGACTGATTTTTTTTCCATAGACTTCGTGGAACATTTTTCCGGCTGCTTAAGCAGCGAAGCGAGTGAATTTTCAATAGGTTTTGCCACTTTTGCTCCCTTTGATGACAAGTGTGAACATGAACACGCCTTATTGCGCCAGCAGCACGAGTGAAGAAATCGTGGCACTTTATTCAGAGGCGGTGAAAACAAGAAAGTTCAAAAGAACATCACGAACTTTTTTAAGCAAGTTGTAGTCGACCCCACTTAAAATCTTGTTCATCTTCATGATCAGTTGTAACTTGTTTTGGTCCATACGAATTCGGGATGATCAAATATTTTGCATGCTTCCTTTGAATACGTATCGAGACTCTACTGTAATGAAGACCTTTACATTGAAATTATTAAGCCACCACAGTAGTGATAGTACATGGATCTGTTTATGCCTAAGATCGTGTCTTTAAAGAGGCCCAGCAACACTTTTTCAGCACGGTGAGAAAGGGCTGCCGATCGGTAGTCAAAGCTCTTAAGAACATGCGAGTCAAATATTGTAGCGCAGCATGCGACCTGAATTTTACAATAAATTCTGAAAGTCGACTAAAAGTCACTTTCTCTTTTCTCTGCAAATGAGGCTTGTAGAATTTCGCTGTCAAGAGAGGGCACTACGTTCTTGGAACACGGACACAGTCGACACAGTCGGAATGAACCAAGCAATACACATTTATTTAACTGCTTTTAGAATGACAGTATCGTCAGCCAAATCATTATACATCAATTGTGCTCAAACAAGCTAAAACAGCCTTACACCATATTACCATACACTCAAAAACACAACATACCCAAAGCGGCGAACGCTTCACTCACTACGAGAGCCCCCGGCAGACAGCTCATGGTGCCGTGCACCAAGGACACGCCACGAAAGACGACAGTTTGCGCCAAACGCCACGCACCAAAGAGATTTGCTCAACTCTTTCGTGCCATCAAGGCTTGCCGCGAGGGGTCACTGGCGGCGCTACCGATCTAACCATAATGATGATAGTGGTGATCAACACTAACACAACGTTACCTACCGCTCAATAGTTGTGACCCCAAAATAAAACTGCGAGACACGTACGCCACGCAGCGCAAACAACTTTACAGGGAGTGTCAGCACCCCTGCATGCTACAGGCTCAAAAATCGCTGCGTCACAGGCCAAGTGCCAGCCATTGGCTGATTTTAGCATGGCGCACTCGGTCGTTACTGGGGCCGCGACTTGTCCACGCGTAAGTGTGTGATCGCACTGAAAAGCTGAGCATTTGAAAAAAACAAAACAAGAGAAAGTGCTCAAGGCGCACATGGTGTATTTTCTTTGCTAGTGCCAACCCTTCCTGCTTAGCTTCTAGCGCTTTCATTAAGATGCGAGACGAGAGAATGCAATAGCAGTGTGCGAAAAATCTTTGTAACTCCGATTGTACAGGATAAATTCTAAAATTTTAGCGGCGAATTCGTGTGGAATGGAATGGAATGCTAAAAACTTGATTTCAGTCCTGCAGGACGCCGACAGGGACCGACAGGGAGTACCTGGCGGCCGCTTCGTAGGCCTCCATGGACGGCCCATTGCTAGTCGGCGAGAAGTGATCTCCTGAGGGACCTCTCCCACTTGTTTGAGGTAGAGTCGGGAGGAGTGTTTCTACACTCCCAGAGCATGTGTGCGAGTGTCGCCATGTGTCCACACGAGGGGCATGTGTCGCTGGGGTATGCACCAGGATAATAAACGTGAAGCTTGGCAAGGTTTGGGTACGTGTGTGTCTGTAATAGGTGCAGGGTTAGCACCTGCGGTCTGTTAAGTTTCGGATGTGAGAGTGGAAAAATGTGGCGTTCAAGGTAAAAGTGCTTTGTTATGTCGTTGTACATAATGGGTGAATCCCGATTGCTCTTTAACTCAACAAGATGAGGCAATGAGCTGCATTAATGACTTCGTTCCATGGGTTATTGAAAAAGTATTGCAGGGCCCCTTAAAGTATTCTTGTAGTGGTTTTTATACCTCTTTCTTGATTTCCAAGTATTCACAACTTTGTTTAGAAAGCAAGGCATATAGTCTGTGGATACTACAGTGAAATCTGGATAGAAGGAATTTTAAAGAACTACTAATAATCACTCGTTATTTTGAATAGTTGTTGTAGTGAAAGTATTAAAAATTTTGACAAAAATCGTAAACCCAAACAAGTGAGTCGACTACACGTGCTGTGTATATATACGCGACCGCGCTGTGCTCATATAAGACAACACAAACAAAAAAACGGAATCAGTGGACATTTATTTGAGACCGAGCGTGATCAATTCTGATGTGAGCAGCTCGACTGATAAACGATGAACTCTTAAGTGTGCGCATCCTTCTTACGTGCTACGAAGCATCACCGTTAAATACAGATTCTTCACGTTGTTCACTCGAGCTGTTTCAGCGTCGTTTTCGCTCTCATCATCGCCGCTTCCTTATCACGACAAATGGTATGGATCTTATCAGTCGTCAGCTAAACTCCCGTGCATGTGTCGTCATCACACTGTGTGTGGTGTTCGAGCATTAATGAAGCATGCATGGGTAATCATCAGCGACCTCTTCCCATTGATCACTCGCGTCCCATTTTTCACTGTCGTAGCATTCCCTTCGTGTTGCTTCCGGAGCTCATCTTTAACACTGGAAAACGGCCGTGTAACAAGTGCGCAGGTCATGCTGCCTGACGAAAACATAGGCAACAGGGTCAATGGGGCGAAGCCTGACTGCGTGACGCGAAAAACAAGTACCAGGCGATGGTGATGGCGATAGGGCTATCGTGCATTTACATAAAAGAAAGGGGGGGGGGGGTAGATTTAAAAGCACATTAGCGTTTTGATGATGATGATAGTAGAACTCGGAGCTGCGCATTATTTTTACAGCCACGAGTAACTTCTTAAAATTGCTATTTGTTATTTTTAGGCTTGTGTGAACTTTAGGTTCGAAGCGAAAAGTGATTGTGGTCGAATAATTTCAATTTGAATTTGAATCGTATATATGAAATATAAAAAAAAATGGGCATACATATTTATCAAGACCTAACTTGATAAATAACCTAACTAAAATTGAAATAGGGCCTCTATGCAAATGTGATTTCTTTTTTCATTCAAAGGAAGTTGAAACAACTTTGAGTAGTAGCAGGATGCAAGTCATAAATCTTAAAACACCTAACATTTTAAAATTTATTACACTTAGAGCATATAAGCCGTCATAACAACCATTTAAGCTTAATAAAATGAATTGATTTGATAGTAATATTTTCATTTAAAGGGGCTGTCTGACTCTTAAGTAGCCAAGGAATGGATTCACTGAAGAAGTTTACTGCCTCATAAATTCAGTGCTGCAAAAATTTTTGGAATCCGTCAAGTACACGCAGAGTTTCAAAGATTTCTCGCACACTGCAAGTGAATTCTCTCGCCTCGTCCCGATGAAAGTGCTGGAAGCTAAGCAGGGAGGGATGGCACGGAGAAAGAAAATATGTCATGCGTGCTTTCTGACATTGTGGAGTCATTTACCAAAGAAGAGAGCAATTTCCAGCCGACTGAGAATTTATTGTGAATCGCACGCCACGTGCTCCACTATAATATTGGTTTGCGGGTCCTCGGTAGCCTCGACTACCGATTGACAGCGTTTTCTGACAATGCTCAAAAAGTGTTGCAGAACCCCTTTAAATTTGTGGGGGGGATTTGCGGCAGAATGAATTTTTTTCGGAAGACGCTTTCACAATTCAGCACCTCTACACTGCAGTGAAATTACTTTTACATGTAGTACATTCGGACTGATATGCATTTACTTGTTCCTTGCCAATACTTTGAAACTTTCAATACTTTAAATTCGAATCAAAGCGAATTCAATTACCATACTATTTGTTCAAATACTCGAAGCATTCGAATATTTGCACAAGCATAGTTATTTTGAAGTGTTGTGGAGATATAAGGGGGACAAAATTCAGTACGTTATTGTGAAACATTTGGTATTCTGAAATTCGTAGTAGTGAAATGTTTTTATATTAAACTAATGCACATTTCAAGGGGGATTTGCAAAACATTCGTTAAATATGAAAAAATCGCTATATTGAGGTTTATTATAATGAGATTTGACTGTAGTACTCTGATAAAAAAAATGTGAACAGTGCGCCGTTTCTGCTCAACACTGTCCGATTTATTTTCAAGCAGTCGTATCATAGATGGTTACAAAAATGTACTAGAGTCATCGATGATACATTTAAGGACTACTCTAGCGTCTTTTCATTACCATTAAAATAAGGGTGCAATGAAAACAAATGCAAAAAGAAGAGCACTAACGTACCACGCTGTTAGAATTTCTTTTCACAGCCCTTGTACTTAAAAAATAATTGGTCACCCTAGAATTCATCACCTAAAATATTACAAATATACCGTATTTACTTGTGTAATGAATGCAATTTTTTCCTCGAAAAATCGGAGCAAAGTTGGGGGGTGCATTTATTACACTGGGTAAATTTAATGCAAACTTTTTCGGGAGAAGAAAAATGCAGTAATGCAAAATAAAATTAATAGGTCGCTTAGCCTTTCGCAATTTACATACGTGTACACTGTTTGGAAACAGCTTCTTTGTTGCACTTTACTCATCTTCAGTGGTTGATGGCGCCATATTCTGCAAGCTGTCCCTGGGCCGCCCTGTGCGCCATAAAAACACTTTGAGACTATCTTTTCTTCCAGTCATTTAACCGCAACAGTCTTATCTGCTTGTGATCTTGAGGGGCACCCAAAAGCATGAACTCACGGGGGAACAGGAAATTAAGGGACAGTTAGAGTCCTAACTGTCCTTTAGGCTAAAAAAAAAGGGGGGGGTGGTGTTCGCAGGAAGCAACTGACGTGGGTTGGCGCAGGCACCTTGGTGACCTTCCCCTGCTATGTGCTTATCAGCTGCGATATCTACAGTCACACCGCTGGTGAACCCAGCTGTGGCACACAGGTAAGATGGGGGACCTGCTGGGCACAGATAGTGAGAAAAGCAATATGGACACAGCAACGGGTGAAGGGGAGGGGTGAGAGAGGGAGCCGAGGTGGTTGAGGGGGGCCGGCAAAGTAATAAAAAACGGAAGAAAGCCAACGGGTGAGGAGGCACCAGGTGTTGGTTAGTGGGACTGCAGCGGATGAATGTAGGGGGTGCGTTTAATACGCGGGGGAAAAATCCAAATTTTGATGACTGAAGTTGGGGGTGCGTTTATTATGAGAGTGCGTTCATTACGTGAGTAAATACGGCAAGCAATCATTTTTGTCTTGAAAAAGTCGAACATTCCTAATGAGTCTAGAACGCGCTTCACTGCTACTTTAAAAATAGCCATTGTTTTGACAATAAGAGATGTTATAATAGAGCTGAAAGCAAGGAAGACACTGCATGCACTTTTAGTAGAAAATTTTACTGTACCTTTGTTCAGCCTTCAAATGCGACTCTAGCAGAGGGCATTCCTTTCTTAAGGCTCGCAAATGGGCATTGGCTGGTTTAACCCTTTTTTCTGTGGCCTTTTTGTCGCTCTGTATGCATGATTGTTGTGGTGGTTGTGCCTCTGACTCTTTTGCTTGAGGCTGGCAAGTGTCTCCTTGGCCAAGTGCATCCCTTTCATAACTCAACTCCTGCATGAATTCTGCTGCAGGTGCAAGAACCTGGTCTCGAACTTCACTAAACACGTTATACATATGCTCCTCCAATTTTCTTTGGCACTCAAGCGTGACTTCTTCTCCATCCTCATCGCTCTCAGAGTCATAGGCCCCTGTGGCCTGGAGCAGAGTGAAAAAGGGTCCACATAGTTACTACTGCCTATTGACAGCCTATTACTTTCGTAATAAATAGTTGTTTTTCGTACATCACACTAGATCTTATTTGCTGGAAGAACTAGAGTGCCATTACTTCATGTACTACATAAATGAAAAGCAGAATTAACTTTTTGTATGTTATGTGGGCTATATAAATTGCCAGAATCAAGATTTCAGGAGAAAATTGATTATAGCACAGACACACTTACCTATATTTACTAAGAAAAATATATAACAGGAATTATGAGATATACAGAATACACTGCCATCTAATAGGCGCCACCCCTAAAAAATTCAAACTTTTACATCGAACAGGACTTTCCTGACAAATATCTTGCTGTGAGCATTACTAATAGGCATGTTATGCGACAAAGCAGTTCCTCAATATAAAGCATAACGTAAATTTGCATTTTTTTTATAGGAAACTCGTTTTTTTTAATCACACTTGTATCTATTACAGTTTTCAGAAGCTTCCATCTTGGCAGGCAGGTGCTCACATGCGAACTCCGAAAGTTCGTAACAGAAAGCGAAGCTGGTAATTGTTCCACGCTGGTTTGCATTGTCGTTGCTCTCAGAGTCAAAGTCTGGCCAAAAACCAGCATCCTTAGACTCACTGCTGCCGGTTAAATTGATAGAATTGGCCACTAACACACCAGAACGCTGGTATCTGTGATCTTTCAAAGTGTGCATGCGCTGCATCTGGCAGCATTCAATTTTGCTTTCCACTAGGAAGATTGCAGCACTTCGGCTTGCGATAAAAAAAATCAGAGCCACATGGGAAAATACAAACTACATAAAAAACAAAACTATAGTTCTTCATGACAGGGGGAGTAGTGTGTTCAAGAACGATGTGGAATGTCTTGAAAGCGGCAATTCAAAGCATGGATAGCCGGCTGTCAATGCTCTATGGGCGCAGTATGGAAAGAGTTGCACGAAACATCTACCGATTTCTCTCTCATTTCTTCTTACTGCTTGACATACCTATTTGCTAGCTCAGTCAGAATTATTACCGAAAAAAAAAAAATTGCTTACGAAATAATTCACTCATGTCTGATGCACATGTTAACTTTCTGAAAGCTGCCTATGGTATCACGGCCCTTTTAAAGCCTAGAAATACTTCCAGCAGCATACCTTCTTGACATTGAATTGTGCCTTTATTTATAGCCATTGAAATTATTGTATAAGCTTGTGAGATCTCACATACCAGATACCCATAGCTCCATGACAGAACATGTAAAATAATGTTTTTTATATCATTATATCTGCCCATAAAATGTTCAGCTTACTCACATATTACCGAAGCTAGACCTTCTCAAACCGAGTCAAATTACCTGGTAAAAACAAGGCATGGCTTCATACAATCTACATGTATAAGATCCTGGTTTAAATTTTATGTTACTGACAGAAATATTAAGTTTCCCAGAAAATCCTACATTGATGCAACACTTTATGAGAAAAAAAAATTCTATATCTGTTCATTATTACATTCTTAAAGACGATTTAACAACCAGTCATGCCGCAGATATAGTAATAAACGCCTTATATATCAGCACTAAAACATGCTGATGCACCAAAATTCTAATTCGAAAACTGAACACCTCCGTGTTAGCATGCAAAAAAAGTCAGAAAAGCTTGGCAAGGCTAGGCAACCAGCTACCGTGCATAGCCAGAATGGCAGAGCAACAGTCAGAGCAAAATGCAACACATTGCAGTTTGTTGCCCGTGCTTGTCTCGGCAGCCACCATGCGCTCCTTTTTCCAGTTGGCATGCTGTTTCAAAAGTTCAGATTTGTACTGCACATGTCATAAATAAAAAAATTTCAGTCTCTTATGACTAAGAAAAAAATTGGCAGCTCTTGCGAACAGCAACAAGCCACTATGTAGTACAGTTAAACCACTCAATAACAAAAGCCCCCGAGAACTAAATTCTTGTGGCAACGAAGATGTCTGGTGTCCCTGGAAAACATCAATAGTTCAATGCATCTGTCCCTTCTCAACAGCAAAAATATTTTAAAAAGTACACCCACAAAAACGAAAATTTCACATAGTGATCTGCAACCCATGACCAAGCTGAGAACTAAAAGTTCGAAAATTGCAGCCCCCTTTATTCGACAAATTGGGCACGTATGTTTCCAGCAACAAGCATTAGTGCAACCACGGCGATTTACATTTGGTCGGATGATGACAGCAATGTGTCTGCAGCCTTGGCAGAGATGAACGCAGATGTTTTTTCTGCAAGGATCGATGACATGCAGCCACTAGCTGAAGCAAGAAACGCACTTCGCCGGAGAGTGATACCGGACGCTGTTGAACTACTATACGACTTCTTGTATGTTGACGCCAACGTGACCGCACATGAAGGGTTAAGCAATGACGCTATCATCAAAAGTGTGAACAGAAAGTATGACAGTGACCACAAGAGTGAGGAAGGCAACAAGACACAAGAAAGGCCACTCAGTTCATGCAAAGTTATTGATGTTTTTAACATCCTTCCCACTTTCCTCGGAGTCCATGATGATGACGAAGTTATGCAAAAATCTTTAAGGTGCGAGGCTAGAGCTGCCAATAACAAACTTTAAATATGTTTTGGTAGTGCAACATAATTGTGCGAATTTTTTCACCTTCACGACGACATTCACATGAGAACGAAAAAAAAAAATCGCTTTCCCGGCGATTTAGTTATTGATGGGTTCAACTGTACTATCACAAGTACAATGCCAAGGTTAACCACCGGCAAATCACAAATTTTAGGTTGCAAGATTTTCCAAGTAACACAGAAAGACTTCAAGCCTTAATCTTTCTTTGTAAAGCACGTTCGTAAGAGAACAAACTGGGTGGTTTATTGAAATACTTTTCAAGAATATGTTTACATGAAATAGAAGACGTGTAACAGAAATAAAACAATGCATACATACCTCTAGAGATACTGTTGAGTGTGCAAGGTTGACATCAAAGCTAAGCTTCGGCAGCTTTGTTGAGACAGCAAGCCCCTGCTCTACGAGAAGATCAGCTGCACTAATTCTTTCTTTATAGCAGCCGCTGAACAAGAGAACCTCATAACAGTTCGTCCCAGGATGCTTTCCAGCATTCTTCTTCACAACCTAGAAGAAAATACAAAAGTCCCACCAGAATAGTACACTGTAAAAAGTGGATTAACAGAACATGCCCTAGCTCAGTTTGGTAAGAATGCATGAGAAACTTCTTAGTTGCTCATTTGAAAGAACATCTTGCTAGTTTAAGTTTCAAGCCTACATAGAAACTATCCTCAGATTATTAGAATCAACTAAATATTTTGTCCATTAAAATCAAAACTATGTTTCTTAATGCTTCCTGGGAGATTTCCTAGCCAATAATACAACTGTACAAATTGGTCAGAATCCGGACATTGTACGGGTAATTCAGTGGACTTGACAAATCTGGATAAGGCAGCATGCTCGACACTGCTGCGAATACTGTTGCTGTTAAACGTTCATGCTTATTTCGCTAGTCGAGAGAAGCTTATCTAATTCCCAAATATGATTATACATCAATATTTATTAAAAGCTCATGAGAATATAAAATTGATAGGTAGTTATCCAGACTCAAGTTCTTGTTTTCATGCAAATATCCTACGAATCGACACGAGTGGTGGAACAAATGTCTTCAGAATTGCTGTTGTCGTTTGCTCAGAAAAATGAGTGACTTCGACACAAGTTATGATGCATGAAGCAAGTAGAATAAATGCTACAATGAAAACTAAAGGGCCTGTTAGTGCCCATTGCGCACAGTTTGCAAAGCGCCTTTTTCAGAGGTCAGCTGAATCACGCTAAGTGAAACACTTACCCTGAGACATAGTACGCGATTCACGTCATAGTCATCATAGCCAAAGCTCTCAAGCACAGATTGAGCCATTGGGCTCCAGTTCCCAGAAGGTGAAACAATTCCTGCCAAAGAGCACTGAATGCCCTGGTAGGGCAGCAGCATCATCCATGAAAGAGGCTTAAACAGCTCATCTCGGGGGCATCTCGCAGTATCTCCATAGTCAGGAAAAAACACGTTGACTTCTGAGCTGTTGAGAACTTCCTGTACTTCTCCACGATACCATCTAAAAACAAATTATGTTTGAGTCAGGTTACCACTAAGTTAAAAGAATACTTTAACTAGAAGAGCTGATTCAGCAAAATTTTCTCACAACCTCATAACATTTTCTCCCAACTACATAAGGATCCTGGAATAAATTGTGCCACAGCTACACAAGCCTGCAAAGATAGAAGTCAACATTACAGTGCAGATTTACCAACAATATTTCTGATGACTGAAAGCCTCAATCTTCCTTTGTAAGACATGTTTATAAGAGAACTAACTGGGTGGTTTATTAACATAATTTTCAAGAATATTTTTACATGAAGACATGTAACAAAAGAAATTCAACTATACTTTATGAACGACTATGTCACTTTTCTGAAAAAAGCAAGAGAGAGAAAACTCACTAAAAGTGAGTACTAGTGCAACTTTATCCATCCTGAAGGCTTATCATCACACAAGCTATAACACTGTACAAAATAGGATTTATTAAGGCAAAGGAAAAGAATTTTTCTGAGGTTGGCAATATCAGGTGGCTTTACACCTATGTTAAACATCGACCTTGATATTTGACAAGTTAATCCTCAAGAAACTCGAACCATTACCTGAAGTGTTTGTAACGTAACAAACTGTGAGCTCAAATAAAAAACTAATACCTCACAGGATGGCCATGAACACTACCAACTCAAAAACTTGCATAACATAATTTGCAACTTATTCATAAACCTCAAAACTAACTTTGTAGAGTCTGAACATATGAACGGTTTATGCGGCTTCACAAACACAATAAATCAAATTTTCATAACATTTGAAGTGTAGTGGTGCTTGGCTACAATATGGATCATAAATTCAAAACATAGTTTTTTTATTACTTGACATGCAGAGAATCAGAAACTCAAATAACCTAAAAATAAGAATCCTTTGACTATCACACATAATTTTTAATACAACATGCCACATTACTGTTGCTCTTATGCCAGCTTGGTAAAAACTATTTCAAAAACGACTTTTGTACCCCCCCCCCCCCCCGAAAAGAAAAATACACGCATGTTTTTTTACACAAGTAAATATTTACACTTGTGAGTAAAAACAAAACACTCTCACAATCAGCTTGTCAAAACTGAAGACGACACGCTTTGGGAGCGCGATGATAGAAGCCGCGACGATGATTCCCGATTGCAACCGTCAACCAGTAATTCTGACTAGATTGAGTGTGAACAGACTTGGCTGGTTATTGTAAGTGCCAATTCAGTTGAATAAACAAGTACTGTGTGCGTTAGGACTATACACTCTTTGCGAAGTCTCGTAATTTGCCTGCCCCTTTTTGGAGCTTAAAAAAGACGTGCAAGTTATGCGCGTAAATACGGTATTTCCGTACCAGAAAGCCACAGTAACAAGTGAGAGCGGAAATAAACAAAGGAATGTTTTATAAAGTGAAATGAAGAGGCAACAATAAAGCACCAAGACCGCTTCTTTGTGGTGCAACAATTGATGAAATATAGCATCTTTCATTGTCTATACTTCCATTGTGTGCGCAATAACGTTCGCAATAACGTTCATTCTAAGTATGCGCAATAACGTTCGCACTGAACTCATAAAGTTCCACTGAAGCACAGTAACACTATGTGGAACCAATTACCATTACGACTAGTTGGGTGCAACAAGTCACTTACTTGGCTCTCGCCGTTGCATGTTTGTAGTCTAATGTATATGACATTTATGCATTCTTTGAGCATTCTTAACTCCAGGTTGTGTTGGAGGGTGGTAGCCCGTTCGTTTAACACGACAAAGACATGAATTTTGCAAGCAATGCACAAGCAACCTTGATTTGATTTGTGAGGTTTAACATCCCAAAACCATCATATAATTATGAGAGACGCCGTAGTGGAGGGCTCAGAAAATTTCGACCACCTGGGGTTCTTTAACATGCACCCAAATCTGAGTACACGGGCCTACAACATTTTTGCCTCCATTAGAAATGCAGCCGCCACAGCCGGGATTTGATCCTGCGACCTGCGCACTAGCAGCCGAGTACCTTATCCACTAGACCACCGTGGCGGGGCCACAAGCAACCTTGAACAGCGTGGAGGCAGCAAATTTGCGAATGGCAGCATGGCGCGCTTGTACTGCCATCACTCCACACAGTCTAAACAAGCGCAGTCGAGCAGATAATTGCAGATGACTGTGGTAAGCTTGTCGGCAATGATTTAAAATGGCCCGTTAATTATCATGACCAGCCCTCTTGCCTTTGCTCTTTTTCGATATTTATACGTTAAAGCACCGCAGCAATAATGGGGAAAACGTTATCATTGGTCGACCAGTCTCTGCTGTCTCTAAAAGGTGAAAAAAATTTTGCAACACATTGCGGCGTCGACAAGCAGAGCATCGCAGAGAAATTTTATGACAAAAAGTTAACACTTCTTGCGCTTGAAGGTATTGTTTGGATAATCATCGACAGTTGTAGATGCAGAGATTGAAATCCGAAAAGTTTGCTGTGTGAAAGCTGACCGCAAGTCTTCATGGTACCCCCTATTTATTTATATTTTTTTTGTCACTATCATTCTGCCACTAAAAAAAAAAAAAAAAAATGGAAAGCAAGCAGCCTTGCTCGCAGCCTCACTTGCAGAGTTCGAAATTGCGTGCAGTGATCGCTGTGGCCTGCAAATCTTCATCCCAAGTAAACTGCAGTGGGCGCGCACTTCTCACATGCTTGAAAAGCCAGTTTTAACTTTTTTTCCTCCCTTCGTATGTGCTATATATTTACCGCGACCGTTTTAGAAGTGGTAATTATAAATGTATGAGGTTTTGAAAAATGTTTGCTACATGTGAACGCAGTTTCAATAGGTAACATAGGAAAATCCTAAATGCACTGAACTATGGTTGTTATAACAGACAGATGGTAATATCTGGGATCATTATAAGTGGGCTCGATTGTATTACATGCTATTTTAAAGGCTGCATGAAGTGAAAATGACTACTAGGCATAGTAAAAAAATTGTTGGCCAAAAGATATCGGGAGCATTGTGTGTAAGTGAAAAAACCACTACTAAGCTCGTGCTTTGATTAAATATGAAACTGAAACTAGGCAACAATGTCTATAAACAGCGTCAAGAAACCATGCCAATCATCATTTGCTTATCAAAGGCCAATTATACTGGACATGCGGGGGAAATAAACGCCGCTCGCATCTTCCCACGGGGGGAACTCGAGTAAATGTGCCGCAGAGTGGTGGGGATATTGCATGAATGTTGCATACTTGGGTATGGTTTAGGAATGATTAATACTTATTTTGTCTTTATTATTCTTATTTATTGAATAAAGGAGAAGTGTTGCCTTCAACGAATGGTGAGGCACTGATGTGCGATCCAGTGCCCATATATACGGGGTAGCCAGTGAACAGTTCTGCAGCTCAAGCAGTCTGTTTTCTCTAGCAGACATTGCCTGCGTTAGCCTTGCGAGGCAAGAGAGGGGGAGCAAACAGCTGGCATGAGACGGAAGCATGCAACACAATACGCGACGGCCGAGCATGCGCAATGTGGATGTAGACATAGCTGCTGACGCACGACATCGTGTTACTAAAAAACGCTCCGCATAAAAAAAAAAAGTGAAGCTTGAAGGGGGGCACAAAACACTGTCACCAGCGCTAGTTTTATTTGCGTTGTGGGCCAAGCAGGTGTGCGGGACTGGTGAAAGGCAATGAAGTCACAGGTACTACAAAAATAAAAACCTCATTACTTGGTGACCTTCATCCCTAGTAATTGAAATGCACTACTGTGTGCTTCCTAATTGTGCCACAGTTTGGGCATGTAAAACCATAGTATATATTATTTCATTTTGTTCCAAAAACTTCCATTGTATCTAAACCACATTAAAATGCTAGTTAATTAAATCAAGAGAAAAAATATGTGCATTTAAATAACATGCAATGAAAAGAGAGTATGCTTGTGCAAATATTCGAATGCTTCAAATATTTGAATGATTAGTATGTATTTGAATTTGCTTTGATTTGAATTTAAATTATTTAAAATTTCCAAGTATTAACAATGAACAATAGATGTACAGTCTGTTTCACACTTAAGGGGAAATCTCGGAACACATGAATCGAGCTGCTGCCAACGCTGCAGTCAAGCGCCGGCAGCAGCTCGCGCATGCACAGACACTTGAAGGGCTGTAGTGTTAAATCATGTCACCTGCTATAGCACCACGCGAGTACAATGCTGGCCGCACCACGTGTTATGTGATCCGAGATTTCCCCCAAGTTTGAAACAGACTGCACATTAGTCCGCATATAACCCCCTGTCAAGGTAGTTTTACTGCAGTGTGGAGGTGCTAAGCCGTGAAAGTACCTAACCAAAGAAAATTCGCTTTGCCCCACTTCAAATTTAAGGGGCCCTGCAACCATAGGTCGGCACTTTGAGGGACTACTCACTCACCATAATTTTTTCAGCCTTTGTACGCACTCAGGTTCATACTAACTAGGACTTACACTCAGAGTGCTCACTCACATTCATACTCCTAGTCACACACATAAGTACTGACGTTCATACTCACTCCTACTCACACACATAAGTACTCACTCACGTTCTAACTCACTCTTACTCACTCTCATGAGCACTCACTTATGTACATACTCACACTTGTGAGTACTCACTCACGTTCATACTCACTTATACTCCTACTCAGAGTACTCACTCGTGTTCATACTCATTCCTACTCACGCTCACGAGTACTCACTCACATTCATACTCACACCAACTCAAACTCTAGGCCCTCACTCACGTTCACACTCATGACTACTCACACATATGAGTACTCACTCATTGCATACTCACGACTACTCCCACTCATTGTTCATGACTCATGTTCATACTCACGACTACTCACACTCTTAGAGAAGAACGGACTGCTGGGCGACTTGGTAATTCATTTTAACTGAGGTGCGCAAAAAATTAAAGTACAAAAGGAAGACACCTAGACACAGCACGCCGTGTCCAGGTGTCTCTTTTTTGTACTTCAATTTTT